CATAACCGACTTACAGGAATCACCCTGTATATAATGTAGTAAGTGCTAATATTCGATGTTTCTGCCTAATCTGTATGGAAAATTTAACGTTTTTAGTGTCCGTAATATCGACTGGAATCTTGGAATTATCTAAAAGATAAATTAAAAAATATTGACTCAAAACTGACAACCAAAGAACCTTTTATTTATTTATCAAATTACATAGGAACCAACGCCAATCCGGCACAATATTTCTTCTACTCGTATTAAAATCCTTGAAATAATAATTTCTGAATATTTTTTAAAACGTAACTCGCTATGGAAAAAAATATTGTTTTATACACGACGATAAAATTGCATTATCGTCCCCCGAAATTAATTCAAAAATTAATTAATTATTATTTAAAAATTATTAATTTAAAAATTATTAAAATACCATTTTATCGCCTTGTATAAAAAATAACTATTAGTCAGGTTTTTTTGATTTTAATCCAATGTTTTTGATTTTAATCAAGTTTTTATTTAGTACTAGTATATTGTTTTATTAGGAGTAAAAATTGTGCTTTTTTAACATTACAGGCGAGGTACAAAAATTATTTTTGCTCTGAATAGAACATGCTGTTTTTTTTTTCAAACGCCACAAATAATTTTTTAAACAATTTCATACGTTCCAAATATTATAAAAAGACTGTTAATACACCTTGATATCGCGATTTTAATGTTTGTAGGAAAAACTGTTGTTTGCAACTTGTGAGCGAACTATTTTGGTGATCTCGACTAAGTTTTCAACTCGGCTACGCCTCGTTAAAAAATTCAAGTATCGTTCAACGAAGTAGCACTTCGCGAACTATATACAAAAATAAATATTTTATAATGCCAATCACATCGCAAAAATTAATACTGTCAAGGTGTATGTGGCGCCATCTGTCGGAGAAGCGAGCAACTAAAACCGCAACGTGTCAAGAAACCTGAAGACATTATTTTGTTGTAGCGCCATCTCTTAATCAAGTCGACAAGTAAGCGAAGCAGACAATAGAATGTACTAGTAGATGGCGGACCGGTCCCGATAATTTTGGATTGTTCGCGAAACACTCACCACAGCTATATAAAAGGAGCGCTTACGACAGTTGGAAAAGTCTGAAGATAGTCTGAAGTCTGAAGTTTGAAAATACGTGTGCAATTTCTGTGCCGTAAGAAAAAGACAACATAACCCAGCTCCATATTAAAACTGCATAAGTCTATTTCACCCGGATATGGATCGAACTGCGATTGCGCCAAACTCCGATTGATTGTTGTTTTAGTTCTGTTTGGATTACTTTTTATTGGTGCGCGTAAAAGAGTGATTTTGTTTAGTTTATTGTTTCCAACTATTTTTTGATATTTTTCCAACTCCCATGATAATGTGTTATAAATAATAAAAATATAAATAAAATTGAAGGTTAGGGGAAATGTCACCCAACCACTTCCCCAAATTAAAAACATCGACCAATGAAAACTTTTTCAGGTGAGGCATGCTCAGTTAAATGAATATCCGGGTGAAATAGACTTATGCAGAATTCTATATTGTTCTTTCACTGTTTGGGCTTCACTTTTTGGAGATTAGGCTGAGTATAATTTGTAAAAAGTAATACGTATATGCTTACGACAGTTGGACAAGTTTGAAGTCTAAAGTCTGAAGATAGTCTGAAGTTTGATAATACCGCGAAATACCGTTAGAGTAATAGTAGTTGCATAAGTTGTGTTGTAAATAGTATAAGTTGTGTGTACAGAGTGAAACAAATAAATTCGTTAAGTATTTTATCGTGAGTTTAAATAGTGGACCCACGGAATCCGTAACAATACCTTTTTGACGTTTGAAAAAAATACATATATTAAAAAAATTATATAATTTGTAGTTAATTAAAATTTTAGATACCTAATAGTTTTATATATTGTTGTTTTCAGATAAAGAAAATTTAGAAAAGGTTACAAAATATATACCATCCAAAGAACAGTTTCAATCGGAATATAAAAGACAGACGAAGAAATTAAGAACCAAATTGAGAAAAATATTTTGAAATGGGTATATTTTTATTATTATAACAATGACACATATTGGTAAAAATAGCATGTAAAAATAAATATTAAATAATATTAATTAAAAATGTAGTTTTATTTTTTCGAAAATAAAGCCCCCGACTACACATAACGTTTTAATGCTCGGGCAAGACGGAGTAAAGACTAACGTACCCACACTGGAACTTGTACCTGCTGTTTTATGAATAATTATAGCATTGTGTTTAGTGAAGTTGAAAGAAAAACATGAGAAATTTTACTACTAAATTGTATGTTTGGTTTAGGGTCAACTTTCGTTTAGCTGAAATCAAAAAAATTGTCTTTAAAAAGCTGTTGTGAACCACGGAAAACACAAATTTTCCTGCGGAAATGCGTAATTTCCAAATTTCGCACTTTAGAATAACTGAAATCTGCTATAAAATAATACATTTTGCGTTTTATTTTTAATATTTTTCTGAACATATAAACACAAACATTTTCCTGCGGAAATAAGCTGTTTTCATTTTCTAAGGAAATTTATTAGAATTAGCTTAGAATAGCTGAAATCAGTTATATAAAAAATAAATATATTTTTGCCTTTTAGAAGCGTTTACAAACTCAGGAAAATAAAAAATTTCCTGCGGTAATGCTTGATTTTCATTTTCCATTTTTGTAAGCATAAATACATATAAAATTATCTTTTTATTACTTTTGAACCAAAAAAAAATCATTTAAAAGTGTCTAAAATGCTAACCAATCTAATAATAAATCTAATAATATTTTTACAAAATCACAGTTAATTATTAAAATATAAAAACCACAGCTTAACACCCTCCACAAAGAAAAGCTAACCAAAGCAACCCAAATCCTAACCAATCTAATAATATTTTTGCAAAATCACAGTTAATTATTAAAATACAAAAACCACAGCTTAACACCCTCCACAAAGAAAAGCTAACCAAAACAACCCAAATTCTAACCAATCTAATATTTTTGCAAAATCACAGTTAATTATTAAAATATAACAGAAAACTGCATGATCCAATGATTTTTTGTTTTGAATCAGCCCTGTTTACGTAAAGCTTTAATAAAAAACAAGAATAAGTGCAACATTCTAAGGTACTTATAGTTTACAGGAACCTACATTATCTATTCTACAAGAATTGTTATTCTTCCGAAAGATGTTTTACCCCACCCAGCACCCCTATTCGCTCCCGCGTCCCGTAAGCTTCTAAACTGAAAAATGTATGAAAAACAAAGTGCACAAAATGACATTGACACATTTCCGCAGGATTTTTTTTGTATTTCTTTGCTCGTAAAGGCTCGTATAAACCAAATACAAGTTCATTTTTCATGTAACTGATTTCGGCTATTCTAAAGTGAAAGCATTTTTTTATGTAAAATAAAAATATAAAATTTTTTCGCTACGACTTTACTACTTTACGCTGCTATGACGTTGGAGCCGTAGTAAGGCAGGTTCGAATCCTAGTCAAGGCGACAAGGGATGAATTCTACGCAAAAAATGTTCTGTAACATTTTTTCAGAAAATTAATATTTTCCGAGTTATTTAGGATTGAAAATGTTGATTTTTCATCTAAAAACTGCATATTTTCCGGCAATTTTCTATAAATAACTCGAAAATCTTGCGTTTTATCGCAAAACTCATATAAAGCAAAAATGAAGCTTTTGGAGTAATGAATCGATTCATTTTTTTGTTGTTTACCATTTTCGAAAACTACATTGCAACCCTTTATCGTAAAATAATGGCGAAAGAATACATTTTTCGAAGTAGCTCGTAGCTTCGTAGCTCAAAAACCCGGGGAGTTATGATAAAAATAAAATGGTCACCTCATTTTTTCGGAAAAAATTAACAACAAAATCTATGATTAAAATCATTAAAATAAAAAATATCAATTTGTAGGAAACTACACGAGCTACAAATTAACCTCTATAGTTGAACAGTCTTGAACTCATTATTTTCACGCGATTTTTGGGTTTTAAGGGCTCAAAGAAGGTGGTCCTTACATGTAAGTCAAACTAAAAAAACGTAATATTTACGAAATAAAGAGATCTACAGAAAAATTAAAAGGGAGCAAAAATATTGCAAAAAAGATCTTTAACTTTCCTCTGTTGCATTTTTACGTATCTTGCTTAGTTTTTGAGATATGTCAAAAAAATTAAAATTATTAAATATATAAATAATTTGCGGATTAATTACACCAAGCGCTATTTCTAAATAACGTTTAAAAATTGCTTAAATGGGCATGTGCGGGTATGCCGGCCGGCGAGATCTTTTATTTTAGGTTATGTTTGAATTGTTTTGAATTATTACTTTAGTTTTATTAGGTAATTTGATATTTAAGTAGCTGGGATTAGTTTTAATTAAATAAATATGACCCAAAATATGGATTCCACCTCTTCCAATATTAAAGAACCTATATAGAGGCTTAGGTTTACAGCAGATGACGACTTAGCCCTTCTAAGAGAATTTGTTGCTTGTTGCCCTAAACCCACTGCAAGACGTTGAACAATAAAGCACTGGAAATACGCACTTCAGCCCTTTAGTTTTAAAATACCTAGTAAACAAAACAATTTTAAAGTTTTAAATTCAAAGTTAGGTTAAGTTTAAATAGCGGACGCGACGCGAACAGAATTCTTTCCGATCCGATAACTATAAATGAAGAGAGTTAATACCACCTCACGTAAAGGAAATAACACCTGGCCTTATTAACGTCCATGCACGGTATTCGGTTTAGCGATATCTCTCTATTACGCTGTTTATTATTTTAATTTTACTCGTTTGCACATCGTCATAAAAAACAATTTTCGTACCACGAATTAGGGACAAGATTTTTATCTGTATACTTATAGGATACCTAATCTGTGCTAAAACCCTCGCTTACTGGCCTATTGACTGTTGATTAATAATTTAATTTTTTTTTAATTAACATAACCAAGTGTGTTCAAAATCTTGTTTTTTCTTTCAGGGGTAGCTGCACCATCATTCTTTGCTATACAGGGCGGCCAAACCTTACATTCCCTAGGCGAAGATTTCAACATGTCATCGATGTTTTGGCTGATAGGATTTGGAGTACTGTCCATAATTCCAATTTATTTAAAAAATCGAGTATAGTGCTCCTGTTTCAACAAATTCAACAGGAAAATTGACGCTAATGGACACGATATTCAAATTCTCTAGTGATAATACAGATTTTTTCTGTTTTTTAATTTTGTTTCTCGTTCAAGTTTTGTTTAGTCTAATTCTTTGATTTTTTTTAAGTGCTTGTATTAAAGTGTGATATAGAGGTAATTGTGAGATCAGCCAGTATTGTACAGAAGGTTTTTGTTAATATCTGTGAGCTTTGAGAAGAACAAAATCTAATATAGAAATAATACATAGTGTTTTTTTTTCTTTTAAAAGTTTAGAAATTGTAAATGTTCCTATGAAATTTAATAAAAGTTGTTTAATGTTTATTTATTTCCTTGATTATAATAAACGTGGTACAATAACTGGTAGGCATGGTTGGTAAAAATCATTTTTTTTTAAATCAAAAAAATTGATAATCTGTAATAAACATTTTTTTTGTTAAGGGCTCGAACTCACTGACGACCAGGTCGCACCGGCCAGGCCGCTGCTACCTCTAATAAAACTATGTAAGATACATAAGATACAGCCCACACTAACGTCCTGGCCGTCCGTTGATCGTTGCGACCAGCCAGACTGCACTAAAATATTATAATTTTCTGCCGCTTGTTGCCGGTTTTCTTCCAAATTAATAATTTTTCAGATGAAATCCCTCAAATTCAACGCACAATATTTTATTTTCTATAAGATATAGTGTTTTAGTGTATTTTTTGCACACGTGCAGAAAATCCAAAGAAATAGTATACAGACTGGATCAAAGGGAAACTTAATCTAGTCCTTTTTTTTTATCAAGGGTCGATTTTAGTAAAAATTCAAAACATTTTTATATGACATACTCTATTTATGGTTGGTATGATATCTGTTATTATACCTTCGAATTTCGTTGTTAAAAAATAAACAAATTATATTTAAAATTTTTCTACAACCACTTGTTTTTTTATTAAATTATTTTTTTTAGTTTTATTGTAGTCATGTACAAGGAGGACAACTATATTTTAAATATTATATTTAATTTAACGTTTTTCAGGGTCCATTAGACTATATTTCTACTAGGTACATTATTTTTAAAAAAAATTAAGAGTAAAAGTAACTTAAACATTCATAAAAATATAAGTATTTACTGTTGTAGATTCTCAGTAACAATAAAAAAGAGCTTAAAAAATGGCGCTTTTTATGAAGCCATGGCCAACCATAAAATAATAAATACAAGAAGAAGTGTCAAGTCAATGTTAAATTATGGAAACAGCGTGGCTGCCTGGGTAACTAATTTTCAGATATGGCGGCTGGGACATTTGACATGACATAGACATGACAATTTCAATTTTATGAAATTTATTTCCGTTTCCGGTTTTTAATGGCGGTCTGTTCAGGAGGTTTAAATGAGGGTTAATATACTTTTTACTCTTTCTAGTAGTAAATAATACAACAAAATTACTCAAAAATATTTATTTGGAATTTAGAACAATGTAAATATGCAAATCAACACAATTAAAGAGCTATAAACCAATAAACTACTGTATCAATATCAAATATTTAAATAATATCAGAGATGCTGTGTTAAAGTGAATTAGTAAAGTAACAGTGCATTGACTTACAGAAACTTGAAGATAAATAAATGTTTTCACAGCTTCACGGGCATAAAACTAAATAACTGGAAGCAGGAAAAAGGCAACCGGAACCCACATAAAACCTGGAATCAAAAAAAATATGTAAAAAACATAAATATAAGTACATAAGACTTTTGTGAATTAAATCAAACAGGACTTGAATGAAAATAAAATGAATAAAAAATATGATACATATACATCTAATACCTCATTTGTATTTTAAAAATAATCTAAATACATAGATTTATAGCATTATTGCTATGACCTCTATGTATCTATGTGATATGTAATTACGCATTTCTGTTCATCTTGTAGAAAATTAATGTAGGCTAATAATAGTTCAATAATCATAATTTACCTTGTATAACTTGCTTTCAATTGCTCAAAATCACCGATCAGTCTTTAAAGTAGAGATACGGAAAAATTCTTGGCAAAGAATATCCCAAGATCCTTGGGTTTAAAGCTAAAAAAATATAAAAACAGTTAATATATTACCTATTTTTACATATAATATGGCCCATACCTACTACACGCAGAAACGTCGATTTCATCATTTTCTTCATGTAATTAATATCATATATACTTTATTAAAGTGTTAACAAGGAACTTTATATCAAAAAACATCTTTGTACTTGTAAATTTCAGCCGAAATATCAGAAACAAACTTCCAATCAAATCTAAACGGCAAAAATTAAAATGGCGTCCGACCTTGCCAGAGGCCTCGGGAGCTGACGCTGACACACTGACAAAAGACAAAAGAACAGGACGCCGACGTGCATAAAAATGTTCCGTAGCAGAAATTGACAGAAATCATATAGAAATATTCAGATTTTTGTCTAGGACAGTCTAGAAGGCCATGCTGTCTGCCTGGGTAGAACCGCGCCACAACTGTTTCCAATTTTCCGGTTTACTGTCACCCCCCTGTGGCCTACTATGGTTTCCATTTAAAAAAACATATGTTTGTGTCATATGTCAAAAATGACAGGCTTTAGAAATAAAAGAAGGACACAGTCTCATTAAGGATGTGATTATCTACAACTTTTATTTGAAAACTTTTTGTCTAAAATAGCTTATAATGGAATTAGGTACAATTTTTAAAATAGCCGAAATTTGTTTTTTTCGAAATATCTAGTAAGCCATGAACTTTTTCAAAAATCTGAAAGGCGCATATTTATGATCCCACAAAACTGCAATTCTTTTCCCATTTAACCGACTCTCTATCTCCAGTAGTTTCCGAGATACCCATAGAGAACATCGTAGGAAACTCACCCTGTATAATTACATACAAGGTACGACTTTTAAATATTTTTATATTATTTGGAACGTTTGAAATTGTTTAAAAATTTATTTGTGGTGTTTGAAAAAAATAGCATGTTTACGGTGAGACGCAAAAATGACTTTTTGTGTCTCGGCTGTAATGTCAATAAGTTCATAATTTATAGTTTGTGACTAAGCAAACCCCATAAGAATCAACTCCGTAATAACTCTGACCTTTTATTTAAACAAAGCAAATTATAGAACGCTGTTTGTGTGTGTGTTTTTGTGTACACAAAAGAGCAAAAGTTATTTTAAGGTTTCCTGAATTCGACCCGATTCACTCTAATCTAATTAAAACAAATTACCAGTAATTTTATCTCGTTTAGGACCAAAACTCTACGTTTACAAAGATAATAGTAGATTTGTTCGCTGTAATTTCTTCGTCAGCCTTAAGAGTACCAATCCTAAACTAAAGCTTCATTCAAAATCTCAAAGTTAGTGGTATCAAACGGACACCATAACATTTTCATGTGTTTTAAAGTTTTATACAGGTTGTTAACTGGACAGTTACTTATAGAGGAACAGAATGGCAACACTGCCTATTGAGAACGCATGCACTATGCACTTATAGGGTTTTCTGCCGACTCTGACGAGGGTGCCGAGGTTGCCATATTTCAACCATCAACCTCTTGCCGCGAGTAATAAACAAATTAACAACCTGTATATTAAGTTTTAAGAAATATAACTGAACAGTATCAGAATTATCAAAAACACCCTAGTTAAGCTCCTTCATTCGGCAGATTATTTTCTAAAAGTTCTGTGTCATATTTGTCCTGGTTTAAAAAGAGAAAAGGTATATTTATTAGTAGTGGGAACTATCGAATGAATACTATCGAAACATTCGATAGTTGCAATTCATTCGAATAATTCGATAGCTAGTAAGAAAACATTCGTCGAAAACTATTCGAATAAAAATATCGAATAGATGCGTCATCTGCCTTGAAATATATTAATTCGGCAGCAAAAACCATTCATTTATAAAATTCATTCATTTGTAAAATTCATTTATTCGTCAGGATCGATTATAATAAAATATAAACTGGATTTTAGTTGTCGCCCGGCGACGTAGGTTTCTTTCCTAGAAACCGGACAGCGGTCGGTGGCAATGGTATGAAAAAAAGCCGGCATCTTTGATTTTGAGTCAGATAAAGATAAGGACACATTATTTTTTTTATTGAGGTGCTAGTATTTACACAGAAAATACATTATGAACGGCGCTGTTGCCGTATATTCGTATTAGTTGGTATTAGCAAAGAATATTATTCTTTGGTATTATAGTTATTTAGGGATAGTATGACTATATATTTTGCATTTTTTTATTAATATTCTGTTGTTACACTACAATAATACTTTATATTTTGGATGTAGGAAAATGATTTTTAATGTTTTTAAGCAAAACTGGTTTAATAAATAATAATAACAGTAATAATTTGTTATACCTATTAACACCAAAATTTAAAATCATTTAATATAAACATTTTTTTAAGTAGTAGCGAAATATAAACAACAAATTAGAAGTCCAAATTATTTATATTAGATCCTATTTAAAAATAATATAGTCTCTAAATTTTTTGTGTGGCAACGTTGGTTTATTAAATAATAATAATTACGGAACTAATTTGTTATATTAACAACAAATTTTAAAATCATGAAATATAAACATTTATTAATTTTCTAAGCATGCAGTGTAATAGAAGAAAAATATAAATAAGATATTAGAAATCAAAATAATTATATATGTGTATTACTTTTTATTACTTTGTATTAGTATTTAAAAATAATATTTGCTTTTACTGGCATTTACTTTAAAAATAAATAAAATATTTCTTCGCAAAAATCTACATGTAAGAGAATTAGCATAAACAAAATACAAATATCGTTAACTTTTTTTTAAATTGGCACGTGTAAAACTTTAATCAATCAATTTAATTTTCCTATCCCAAAATTTGAGTTCGATAACCATTTACTTAACCACATTACCACATTACTTAAATATGATTATTAAGTTCAACTAATTCATATTACTAAAACATCTAAAATACAAATACATATGTATTTTTAAAATTAATTGTAAGTTCACCTCATCTCTCTTAAAAATTGTTACTTCTCAAAATTTCCCATTAAAAAAATAAACCATATACCGTATAAAATTAAGTAATTGAAAGATCGGAAAATCACACAAATTTTCAGAAAAATTTTGACCACCTGCACACGTACACAATCATCAATTTAAAAAAAACACTACTACTTTAGTATTTTAAATATTTTAATAAACGCAAAAATAGCACAGTATTTAGAAGGCAAGTTATAAAAATTTGGAAGGACTAATGATGCACTGACGCAGACAAAAATCAAACGAATACTAAATTTCATTTATAAAAAGCATTCGATAGTCGTGGCTTAACGATAATCATTTAGTCGCACGGCGAGGTTGTCACATATGCTTTAGTATACAAATGAATGAATGATTTTATTCGAATGAAACCATTCGATAGTTGAAATCATTCATTCAGTAACCATTCGATAGTCTAATTCATTCGATAGTTCCCATCGCTAATATTTATTGCTTCTACACCTTTAGGTTCTTAAAAAACCCTAGATGTACTGGCGGTGTAAACTGAGATAGTTGTTAGATATTTGACTTTTTTGCATTACAAGCAACCAAAATTCATGAACGACAGATAACTGGATATTTTTAGTCTGCCTTTGCCTTATTTATGTACCAGTTGGATGTATGCTCAATATTTAAATAGAAATTCTATCTAAATTTTGTGTGGGTTAGGTCACGTTTCATTATCATTTTATTATGAAAAATGAATTTTTGACGAGTAACTGCCTGATACAATGAACTTTTTGAAGTAAAATTAATTCTGTTAATCACTCTAGTAGCTCGTTCCGTCTTGGTTACAATTTTAGTGACATATATGCAAGTTTTCATAGATTAACATTTTTAAAACCTCGTAAGTAGATAGAAAACTACATCAGGAATCGTAATATATTGAAATTAGAAAATCCAAAAAAATTGACTTAGACCGCTCTGGTTTTCAACGGCTCATTTATATACAGAGTGTCCCAGAAATAAGTGCAAGTATTTTAAGGGTTGGTAGATCTCGATAAAAGAAACCTATTTTCTCTTTATCGTTTTTCAAATAACTCCAAAATAACGTTATTTTATTTTGAAAATTTCCAAAAAAATGATCTTTTGCTAAAGTTTTGAGAACCACTGGATCTTTTCTGGATTTTCTTTCTTGTATATTTAATCTAATACCTATGTTGCCATATTATCAAGAAATTATGTTTATTAACTAAAAACTAGAAAAAATTCCAAAAATTTTTTCAAAAAATTTCGAATTTTCATTTTTTTTTTCTTGAAAAGACCTCATAGGCGTGTTTCTGGGGTTGAAATATACTACCAGTTAAAATACTTGCACTTATTTCTGGTACACCCTGTATAAATATATTTTGTAAAGTCCAAAATAACTCGTTTATTTTGGACTTATTTGAAAAACGGTAAAGAGAAAATATGTTTCTTTTATCGAGATCTACCAGCCCCGAAAATATTTGCACTCATTTAAAACTCGCCCTGTATATTACTTTATACTAAAAAAAAGTATTGGGATTCTTAAGTCGATAATTTGAAATCTCTCGACCGCTGGTCAGAGCGCTGATAAACTTTTGTCCTTTCCTGATAATAAACAGTTTCAATTCATCAAACAAAATTACGACAGGGTTACAATTCGTCGTCATCTACTAGTGCTGTGGAAGAAACAACCGATTTCTTGGTGACTTTATTTTTTTCTTGTCAAAGAAGCTAAAAGTTAAAAAATATGGAAAACAGAATTTTAGTTTCAGTGGCCATTCTATTGGTTTCTTCCTACTTCGCTTGTGCAGCGTACACTGATTGTGGTAAGTGATTATTTTTCTTTATTATTTTTAAATGTTTATGTAAAATAGTTTGTGTAGTATTTTTTAATTTTTTGGGGTCTTTTATATACTCGCAAATTGTTTAATTGAAAATGAAGGTTACTAAAAAATTGTGATGTATATTAGAGAGGATAATTTTAGTATTTTTAACTGTTTAAACATATCGTAGTTTCTTTATTGATTGATCCTATTTTTATAGTCAGTATTTTATGTTCTTTTTCAAGATTTAAAAAAATAATAATTTTTTGGGGTGTTACTAAATTTAAATTAAATTTTCGCATAAAGGTACTGTGACTATATGGAAAAAATAAGCTAAGATTGTTCTGGATTTCTATTTTGATTGACATTATTAATTTATTTTGTGACAATTTTGTTTCATACCAGATTTTCTTATTTATAAATTTCTTCCTGGGAGGGGTAATTACCTCCATTACCCCTTCCGTATATGCGCCCCTGTGTCCCCGGATTGTCTTTACAAGGGGAAAAACTTTTTTATTATTAAAATTTTGAGAAAAATGCATCCTTTATAAAAAATTTTGCTTATTCTAAAATGGTTAATTCCGTTTATACTTTTTCAAATTTCCATACCGTTTTAGAGAAAATTCCAAAAAACATGAAAATATACATATTTTTGCTCTTGTTAAAGTATCTCATTTTCCGATAACTATTATTACCCTTTTCGTAGCATTAAACCGAATAAATTTTGTGCTTTTATATCATTTTAAAACAGCAACAAATACAGAGTCCGGCAAAGTGCGTCGGGCATCTGTAGCTCCTAGAGGAGAAGGGCATATAGCCAGGTACCAAGTAAGAAGGGCATATAGCCAAGTGTAGCAGTACCACAACCCTTATGGGCCCCGGCCCCATGGGCCCCCTTTCTGTATCCGCCACTGATTGAAAGTATACTAAAAATGCAGACAAAAAAGGAAAATAAAGGAATGCGGACAAAAAACATTTAAGTAAACAGCAATATATTTTATACGTCGACTTTACGAGTACATCACCGCAAATCGCTCCGCCCACTAATTTTATTGGCTACTTGCAAATTTGTCGAATTTTTATTGATGGGACGCGACGTCTAATTTTTTTACGAAAAACATCGAGAGAATATCGTTTCCCCTCTCACGGATACCCCGTAGCTACAGTACGGACAGACATACTGTACATATGTGGTTGTAAATAAAATGTATTTTATATTGTTAGCTGATAAGAAAATAAAAGGAAAATAATAATTTATTAAAATAAGTTTGTTAGCCAAGTACCATAAGCAGTACCACAACCCTTATGGGCCCCGGCCCCATGGGCCCCCCCTCTGTATCCGCCACTGATTGAAAGTATACTAAAAATGCGGACAAAAAAGGAAAATAAAGGAATGCGGACAAAAAACATTTAAATAAACAGCAATATATTTTATACGTCGACTTGACGAGTACTTCACCGCAAATCGCTCCGCCCACTAATTTTATTGGCTACTTGCAAATTTGTCGAATTTTTATTGATGGGACGCGTCGTCTATTTTTTTACGAGAAACATCGAGAGAATATCGTTTCCCCTCTCACGGATACCCCGTAGCTACAGTACGGACAGACATACTGTACATATGTGGTTGTAAATAAAATGTATTTTATATTGTTAGCTGATAAGAAAATAAAAGGAAAATAATAATTTATTAAAATAAGTTTGTTAGCCAAGTACCATAAGCAGTACCACAACCCTTATGGGCCCCGGCCCCATGGGCCCCTCCTCTGTATCCGCCACTGGTTGAAATTATACTAAAAATGCGGACAAAAAAGGAAAATAAAGGAATGCGGACAAAAAACATTTAAATAAACAGCAATATATTTTATACGTCGACTTGACGAGTACTTCACCGCAAATCGCTCCGCCCACTAATTTTATTGGCTACTTGCAAATTTGTCGAATTTTTATTGATGGGACGCCACGTCTAATTTTTTACGAAAAACATCGAGAGAATATCGTTTCCCCTCTCACGGATACCCCGTAGCTACAGTACGGACAGACGTACTGTACATATGTGGTTGTAAATAAAATGTATTTTATATTGTTAGCTGATAAGAAAATAAAAGGAAAATAATAATTTATTAAAATAATATTATTAAAATAAGTTTGTTAAATTGAAGAGATAGCAGTAAATAATATTGTGTGGATTTTTCAGGGTCGCAAGATGGTAGCATTGTCGATATACAAATCACAAACTGCCCAGCCTCATCCAGAAGATGTACATTAAAAAGGAACACCAACGCCACCATGGTCATCAACTTCACTCCAAGTAGGTTTTTATTAAAAAATTGTTGGTACAACATTGTTTTGTGTTAGCTTATTTCTACTTATGTTCTAAATTTCAATTCTATTGTTTTTTTATATTGGTTTTAAACAAAAGACCTCAACGTTATAATTAAAAAAAAACAGGTAAATAATTGCAGATGTGCATTCATGGATGTGACCTTGCGTATTATTTAGAAAAATAGCACCTATACCTAATATGTAAACAAATATTTTTCAAGTGTCCATTTTTATAAAAATAATAAATGCACAGGCATTTATAGTTGTATACAGGGTTGTTCACCACATACGACACGGAGTATTGTAGCTAAACGATGAGATTTTTACAAATTCTAAGTTTTGGGTTCGATGAAGGACTATTAGAGGTACAATTTATAAATAATTTTACAAGATACACAGAGTCCCAAATAAGCAAAAAATATCAAAGTTGTATTTTTTTAAATGGAACACCCTTATTATTATTTAATTTTTAGTTTCTACGATTAAAATAAAGGTAAATTTGATTAAGGTTTATTATACTTAAACCTTACCGTTTTTGAAATATTTTCAATTTTGTGAAATTGCAGTAAAAATTTTAAGGCTTCATTTCTCCAAGGGTATCAAAGTTTTTAATACTAAATATTTACTGAAGTTTATTTATTGATCAGTTATTTTGTTGCAATAATAAAAATAATACTACCTTATACAGAGCGCCTAAAATTTATTTTAAATAATTATTAGCTTCAAACGGCAATGACTTGTTTAATTTAAACGGAACACCTTGTATATTTTACGAGAATCAGATGCACAATTTAATTGTCTATCAAATTATATTATACCATTTTTTACCCATCTCTTTAAGTTTCCGTAGAAAATGCATTTTCTTGTAATTTAGAACTTATTTATCAATATACCCATGGACTATTGACATTTTAGATTATTTTTAAAGATGTACCAAATTTTTAAAGAGTACAGATACTAATATTGTCGATATAATTTGTTTATTTTATTAAAAAATAAAAAAACTGTTTAAATATTTGTTAAAGGAGACTGTTTGCGTTGATTAATAATAATTGCTCCAAATACTAAAAAACTGAATTTTGTATGGGTATTAGACAGTGTGATAAAAAGAAACACCTTAAAAATGATATTTCATTTTTTAATAAATACTTATTTATAACAACAGAGACTTTAATTTTGATAACTTATTATTATATTGATTTCTGACTCAAATCCACATTTATTTAGAATAATTTATTAACGAACACAATTAAGTATGTAATTAATTAGTATATGGGCGGAAATAATGGTGTTATATTTAATTAATGGTATACTCTTTTATAAAAATTTAAATAGTTTTCTTTTTGCATACAAATGGCTAGTAATATTATCGTTTTGCTAAAAACGATAATATTACTAGCCTGTACATTTTGTACATTTCTTGCTTTAAAAACAATCTAAAATGTCAATATTCCATAGGTATATTGATAAATAGGGTCTAAATTATAAGAAAATGCATTTTCCACGAAAACTTGAAGGGATAGGTAAAAAATAGTATAATACAATTTGATAGACAATTAAATTGTGCATCTGATTCTCCTAAAATATACAGGGCGTTCCATTTAAATTAAAGAAGTTATTGGCGTTTAAAGCTAGAAATTATTTAAAATAAATTTTTAGACACTCTGTATAAGGTAGTATTATTTTTATTATTGCAACACAATAAGTGATCAATAAATAAACTTCAGTAAATATTTAGTATTAATAACATTGATACCCTTGGAGAAATGAAGCTTTAAAATTTTTACTGCAATTTCACAAAATTGAAAATATTTCAAAAACGATAAGGTTTAAGTATAATAAACCTTAATCAAATTTACCTTTATTTTAATCGTAGAAACTAAAAATGTAATAATATACAGGGTGTTCCATTTAAAAAAATACAACTTTGATATTTTTTATTTATTTGGGACACTCTGTATCTTGTAAAAATATTTTTAAATTGTAGCTCTAATAGTCCTTCAACGAACCCCAAACTTACAATTTGTAAAAATCTTATCGTTTAGCTACAATACTCCGTGTCGTATGTGGTGAACAACCCTGTATAGTTCATAACAAATTAACTTTTAGTGACGTGATTGATTATAAATATATAAACAGTTATTATTTATATCAACAAGACTCGCCTTCTTAATAGCACTTAAGGGAGAAAAAGGGCCATTACTACCGCTTTCACGTTCAAAATATTCTAATAAAGTTGCGATGAGTTTTTTACGGCTATTAAGCTATCTTGTACCGCTTTACACTAAACGAGGTTCTAAAAAGAGCAATGTTCGACTGCAAGGTCTGCTAGTAAAAATGTTTAAGTTTAAAATATCACAACACAATTCATTTAAACCAAAAACTAAAGTGTCAAAACGACTGACTATGTCAGGAAATAAATAGATAAATGTGGCGACTTGATATTTTTTATAGCAGAGCTATCACCTGAATCCCCAGCGGGAAATTTAAATTCCCGTTAGTCAGCCCGGCGCCGAATATGTCCACGTTTGGCAACAATGAATTTAAAAATCGCGTCCTCGATTACGTAACTAGAAGTTTAATTGGTATGGAATATATGTAATATAGTATGGCGTTTTTTTAGCCATTAAAAATTATTATTTATATTTTATTAAGCATACATTAGTTATCTACTGCGATAAATGCAGATAAATGCCTCTTAATGTCAGAAAAATAATAAAACATAGAGGAGCTCTAGCAGATAACTAAAATGACAGAAGCAACTAGAACCAGAATAAAAAAGAACTGTTCAAAATATCTAAATGTAACCTAAAAACTAAAGTTTCTGGGAATAATTATATTTAGTAGTTTTTCTTTATTTTTTTCCGTTTTCTTATTCTGACGACGGGAGGAGATATACCCCCTGAAATGTTAGCACTTTGATTGGTCAAGCTGGTTTCCATTTAGATTCTAACGCAGTGAAATTTTAGAAAAAAATAAAAAAAAAACTTTTATTTTAACTAAATTTAATTGAAAAAGATTCTCTATGCTTTATACAAGATGTCCCAGAAATAAGTGCAAGTATTTTAAGGGACGGTAGATCTCGACAAAAGAAACGTTTTCTCTTTATCGTTTTTCAAATAAGTCCAAAATATCGGAGGTATTTTACTTTGAAAATTTCCAAAAACAATTATTTGTTTTGCTCAAATTTTGAGAACCACTGGATCTTTTCTGGATTTTCTTTCTTGTAAATTTAATCTACTACCTATGTTGTCATATTATCAAGAAATTATGTTTTTTAACTAAAATCTAAAAAAAAATTCCAAAATATTTTTCAAAAAATTTCGAATTTTCAAATTTTTTTTTTTGGGATAAAAACCTCATAGGCGTGTTTCTGGGGCTTATTTCTTATTTCTGGGACACCTTGTATAACCTCTAGGTTTACTTATTTTTCTAAATGTGCCACAGCTTTTACGTGGAGTTTTACTTAAATAAAAATAAATTACATGCTTCTTAAGGCCAATTACTGGCGCCATTTAAAAATTAAAGAATTTATTATTTATTTATTACTATTTAAGATTTTTTTTTATTTAGGCACGCCATCTACAAGTCTGAAAGCTGTCGTTCATGGACTAATTATGGGAGTACCGGTACCATTCGACTTACCCAATCCAGACGGCTGTAAAGATTCTGGTTTGTCCTGTCCATTGACACCTGGAACTACTTACAAGTACACCACAACGATGCCAATCAGTACGAGTTATCCAAGGGTAAGAAAACTATACCTACTATAAATGTATTATAGTAGAATATAAAAGAACAAAAATCAGAATTTTGCAAGAAATTTCTTTTCAAAATTCAAATCATTAAGCACAAATTTAACGAAAGTGTATCAAGTATGCTTATTCTTAAATCAGAAGAAAAAGAATGCTTCTCCGCCTTACAAAATAGAAAACGTATGGCTCTTAAACCAATGCATTTTGCCGCGAATCTCTTGGACCCCTCTGTTTCCTGGGAGAGCACCCTAATAATTAATCAACAATATCACCAACAAGCATCCTCAGTTTTTCAATAATAAAGCAGCCATTTTTACAAATGTAACAAATTATTGCGCCAAATCGGGTTTGTGGGCTCTCGACTACGTTTGGATGTCAGCTAAAAATGTAGACTGTTTAAGTTGGTGGCAAGCAATGTGTAAAAATATTCAGTTGAAATATTTAGCTGTTACTCTGCTGTCTTTACCAACGCCATCTGCAGCCACTGAGAGAAGTTTCAGTACTTAGTTTTAACCATACTAAAAAAAGGAATCGCTCAGCTGCACAGAGAGCCGGCAAAATAATGTTCGTAGCTCATAACAATAAATTATTACTACAAAAACAAAAAGGGGATATGAAGCATGATATTCAACAACATGAAACTCCTCCAGAACCACTAGAACGTGTAGAGGTAGAGGTCCATCCTTCAGAATCAGAACCAGATGATACATCAAATATATCTGATTTGGAAATAGAAACTGACGAAGACAGTACTAATATACTATTACTATAATACCCTATGAAGATGGGACCAGCTCGGCGCCTAAAAGTATTCAGGAATAGAATAATTCAGTTATTTGTGTTTTACGTTTTTTAAATTTATATTTCGAGCTTTTTTGTTTTTTTTTAATTTATAGTACAAATGTTACCAAATGATTTTGTTATGTGTTTGGTTTGGTATGTTTATGATTTTTATGAGTTATGTATTGTTTATTAAAAATATAACAACTAATACCGTATGATCGAGAAAAAACGGCGTCAGCGATGGCTATGGAATGAAGATCGCTGTCATTTTATATGTAAATTTATACGGGAAATGTCATCGATGTTCATTTCCCAACCAACTGGACGCCGTTTTTTTTCGATCATACGGTATTATGTTTTTTGTTTTTTTTTTCACTTATATGTTGGTATCAAATGTTTATCTAATATATTCCTTTATTGTATCAACAAAAAATATGTAAAATTGTAAAATTTCCTAAAATTTCATAAATTTCCGAAATTTTCCGAAATTTCCTGCAACAATCAAAAATGTCTGAAATATTAACATCACTAGTCCGGAGTGCGTTTGGCAGATTATAATATCACGTATCGGGCTTTTCAGTCACAGAAAAGCTCATGAAAGAAGACGCCTGGCGTGACCATCTTCTGATGCGTGTCGAATACTCGTCAGCGAGTAATAGCAGTAGTAGTAGTAGTGTATTCGTTTAACATTGGATTAGTACTCAGAACATCAGTAGTAATCATCTTTAAGAGAAGAATCTCTGGCATTATTAGTAACAGACATATCTCTCTAGACTATATTAATTCTTTTGGTTTTGGACACAAAAATTGGGACTCTTAGAGTATCTTATTTAGGGATGTAGTCAAAGAAAACAGGCCTTCAAATACGAAGTTTTGGTAAACATTTGAATTTTTGATGTAAGTTACTTTGAAAGACCTACCAAACCAAACGAATTGTGAAAGTTTTTTTTAAATTTACCTCCGGTGATACAAATAAATAAAATTGTTTTTTCGAAATTCCGGAGAACGGCAAGGACTAAAAAAAACTTCAAATGAAAGTTATAGTGTTCAATTTTACATAGAAATGGTCTCTATACCTTTTTTGCTTAAATCAAAATTAACCGAGATATAGGGTGGCTAGAAGCTAGGAGACAACATTTTTTTCAAAGTTCTTACGTTTCTCTAAAATTAAAAAAAACACTTTTTTTATATTTTTTACCCTTTCTCGGGGTGAATTTAAAAAAAAGTCTTAATTGAAATTTATAATTTTCCAAACAAATTGATTAAAAATGTTAAATATATGAAATATGAATTTTTCGGCGATTTATATATTTTTTTAAATTTCTACTATCATCCCTTAGCTTCTAGCCACCCTATCTCGGTTAATTTTGATCTAAGCAAAAAAAGAATAGATTGATTTCTATGATAAATTTGACGCTCCACAACTTTTCTTTGAACTTTTTTTAGTTATTCATAATTTCCTACATTTAATATAAAAAATCATTTTTTTTATAATTTAATTAAATAAATGTTTTTTTTTCATCAGATAACGCTGGACATAAAGTGGGAACTGGTAGATTCCGATCAGAAAGACGTCATTTGTGCCCAAATTCCAGCCAGAATTGCCTAAGAAATTCCTGGATTTAAAATATTTAAAGTATTTTTTTTGTGACGAGTCCTTCTTTGAGTGCAAACAAAAACCATGTAAATCCAGTTCAAACGTTATTAATTATAAAATTATCGTCAACAAATTGTAAATTATTGTATTTATATTGATAAACAAGCTCTGCCTAGTGTCACTATCAAATGAATAAATGTTAATAAATTAGATAAAACAAGTTATTAATAGTTTTTTTTTTCTCTCTCTCTCTCTGTGTTATCATGCCCATGTGTTATAGGCTTAGGAAGTATAATTTTTAAAAATTCTAAAAATAAAAATAAAAAAGTAAATATTTTTATATATCTTCAGGTCTAACTTGTATTATAATTTATTATTCCAGTTAAATAAACTTTTTAGATGAGTTCAACTATACGGTAGCGAGCATAGTTTTAATCACCGGTTTGGTTAGTGGGGTCATAATTGGGGCTATTTTCGACTATAACAAAAAAATTTAAAGGTACATAATTATTTTAGAAGATGTTCATAAAACATTTAATTTGATATACCATTAATACTGGAAATTATATTTTATTCTCTGATACTATATATGTCTCTCTGAGTATATATGTCTATTTAATTTTTTAATTATGTAACGATCACTTTGTTTACTCACATATTTCGTCGAACTGCTTGAATTCATTTTTACTTTTGATTAAATCGGTATGAGAAAATATGAAGCTATAAAATGTTGTTTCGGGAGAGTTGAATATCAGGGAAAGTTGAGTTATTGAATGTTATTGCACCCAACAACGCCCTAATTACGCTCTCCTCTACGCGTAAACATTTTTCGGAAATTTTATTAACATTTGAAATTGTCACAACACAACACGACGCGGGTCAACTTTCCTGAAATCAGTTATTAGAAAAAAATATAAATTTTTGTCTTTAAAAAGCTACTGTGAACCACGGAAAACACAACTTTTCCTGCGGAAATGCGTAATTTCCAAATTTTGCACATTAGAATAACTGAAATCTACTATATATAAAAAATACATTTTGCGTTTTATTTTGAAAATTTCACACCTCTACTTTTCAACCAATAACATGCTTTAATGTTGACTAGTTACCATGGCAACCGAAAAAATTTCCGGAAATTTTTTCGAGGCGCCACGAAACTTTAGTGGAAATTTTTTGACAGTTGAAAAGGTAAACATAAGATCTACAATCATAATGTGAATGAACTACAATGTCTATATATTGAAATATTACCCATTTGAGTTTTAGCATTTGATGTAACTAAGGTTGGTAATATTTTTTATTTAAGGAAATATGTTAGATATACCTACAATATGAATTACAGACGTTTTAAAACTAGTAATAGCTTAATGACAGAATCGCAAACAAAAATGACAAAACACATAATATGTCAAAAACATCAATACCTTGGCCAACTTAACAAATTGAAATTATTTTAAAATGTCATGTTGGATTAATATTTTTTTTTCAAATTTAGGTGTGAAATTTTCTTACCGAATACCACGCAAGCTTAAATTATTCCTGGAAATTTTCTTTCGGGCACGAATATTTTAGGAAAATTATCCCTCGTCTTCGACTCGGGATAATTTTCAAAATATTCGTGCCCTCAAAAAAAATTCCGAAAATAATTTAAGCTCTTGTGATATTATAAGTGAATATTTTTCTGAACATATAAACACAAAAATTTTCCTGCGGAAATAAGCTGTTTTCATTTTCTAAGGAAATTTATTAGACTTTAGAATAGCTGAAATCAGTTATATAAAAAATAAATATATTTTTGCCTTTTAGAAGCATTCACGAATTGAGGAAAATAAAAATTTTCCTGCGGAAATAAACTGTATCCATTTTCTGAGGAAATTTAATAGACTTTAGAATAGCTTGTTGTATACGCCATCTATTGGGGCAATGGTAAATTAACATAACCCATGTATTTACGGTTGGTAGCACTAAGAATAGGTTAGTAAGTTTGTTTTTATAAGGTTCCTAGTAACAAAAAAGAGAGTAAGAAGAATATGGCGGCAGCATATTCAGTTTGTTCGTTTTAGTTTTTGTTCTTGTAATTGTTAACAGAAATAAAACTCGTGAAGAGTAAAAAGACCTGGTTTAATTAAAAAGTAAATTCACGGACCTCAAAACAACAGGTTATGTGCCCAGATCACAGCCCAGATCACAGCCCAGACACAGAATAGAAAACCAAGGTCTCGCACTAAAAACGGCAAGGACAAAACGACAAGTAAAATTTCGGGAAAGTGTATCGGAGTGTTAAGAGTAAAAACATTAAAAGTAAAAACAGTAAAACCGAAAAAATGTCTGAAAATAACGCTGCATTAAAACTAAATGGAGATAACTGGCCAGTCTGGAAATTTCAAACAAGCATCATACTAAAAGGTCGTAGTTTATTTGAAGTAGTGGATGGATCCAAAGTAAAACCAACCACAGGAGTTGAAGAAATAAATAAGTGGATGAAAGAAGATGCAAAGGCCCAAGAATTACTGGTAACAAGAATGGAAGAAGGACCATTAACGCATGTACTGTCTTGTGAAATGTCCAAAGAAATATGGAGTAAACTAAAAACAGTATATGACAAGGAATCAGTGGTGAGTGTACACCTTTTACAAGAACGTTTCTTCTCACTGCAGTTTGATTCAAGTGTTAGTACCTTTTTATCTAAAATAGAAGAAATAAAAATGAAATTAAAATCTGCAGGCGAAACTCTATCAGAGAAAATGGTAATAACCAAGATCTTAATGTCTCTCCCAGAGCAATTTAAGCATTTTAGATCAGCGTGGGAATCTGTTCCAGTAGATAACCAAAGTCTCGAAGAGTTAACTTCAAGATTACTTCTAGAAGAAGAAAGATGCAAGTCTTTGGAAAATGCAACTGCATTGGCAACTAAAACCAGTGAAAAACCTCAAGGAAAGAAATGTTATATATGTTCAAAGGTAGGCCATATTGCTAGAGATTGTTATTTCAGGCACAAGAAGCAAAAGAATGAAAAGAAAGTGTGCAGTTTCTGTAGAAAAAATGGTCATTTAGTCCAAACATGTTGGGTCAGAAAAAATAAAGAAGGAAATCAAGAAAACAAAAGGCATGTCAAGTAAAAAAAGAAAGAAGAACCAGAAGTAAATGCTTTTATGGTCAACTCTAAAACTAATACCAAGTCACATGAATGGTTTTTGATTCGGTGCAAGCGAGCACATGTCATGGAACAAGGAATTATTTCAGGAAATGTACAAAGTAAAAATCCCTAGAATGGTGCAAGTAGGAAATGGTCAAAAGCTAGAGGTAAGAGGTTATGGCAAAATTAAGTTGTGGGCATATAATGGCACAAGTCTTATTGAAACTTACCTTTCTAATGTATTATATATACCTGATTTAAAGTTCAATCTTTTTTCTGCTGGTTGTGCGCTTGATAATGGATATTTCTTGTCCTCTGATAATGAAAAATGCACTTTTTATGACAAAAATGGAAAGATAAGAGCTCAAGCTATAAGACAGAATAAGTTGTATACAATGTGTTTTTCTCAAGAAAAGTCTTATGTCAAATGCTTACAAGATCAACCTAAAAATATCCTAACAACTAACTTAAACTCTGACTGTATGAAAGTTAAAACCATAGACTGTTTAAAAGAATGGCACTGTAAATTAGCACACCAAAATGTTAACTATATAAAACACTTTTTAAGGAACAATAACATAGAATTTGTGGATGAAAAGTTTGTATGTGAACAATGCTTAACTAGAAAACAGCATAGACATCCCTTCCATGAAAGTGAGTCAAGAGCTACAGTACCATTGGAGCTAGTACACACAGATGTATGTGGACCTATGGAGCAAGAATCTTTAGGAGGATCTCGATACTTTCTCCTATTAAAAGATGACTATACTAACTACAGGTATGTCTATTTTCTAAAGAATAAGTCAGAAGTAAAAAGAAAAAGTTGGAAAATTTCATAACTTTAGCTGAAAGAGAAACAGGTTACAAAGTGAAGGCTCTAAGATCAGATAACGGTCTTGAATTTTTGAACAAAGAGATCAAAGAACTGTTAGAAAACAGAGGAATAAGGCATCAAAGATCGGTTGTATATACGCCACAACAAAACGGAAGAGCAGAAAGAGAAAATCGAACCTTAGTTGAGGCAGCTCGAACAATGTTGCAAGGTCAAAAATTACACAAGAATTTGTGGGCAGAAGCTCTCAACACAGCTACTTTCATATTAAATAGAACAGGAGTAAGCTCAGAGCAAAATAAAACACCATATGAGTCATGGTACAAAAGAAAGATAGACCCTAATATTTTTAAGAGGTTTGGAACAAAGGTCTCGGTACATATTCCAAAGGAGAAAAGACTAAAGTGGGATGCAAAGAATATGTTTGGTATATTTTTGGGATATAGTCAAGATGTAAAAGGATACAGAATATACTTACCTGAAAAGAACACAGTAGAAATTCTTCGTGACATAATATTTCTACCAGAAAAAGACATAGAACCTGAACGTGTCATAGAAGAAAATAAAGAAACAGTAAAACAAGAAAATCAAGAGCTAATTGCAGAACTAAACACTCAAAATGAAGCTGAGTCTAGTAGTGACAGTGAGTTGGACATTGAAGAGGAAGAAAGACACTTAGAAGAGAACGTAGATAGTGACAGTAGTGAAAATGAAGACCAAGAAGACAATAGAAGATACAACTTAAGAAGAAGCATAAATCTACCGTCAAGATTCAATGACTTTGACATGGACAACGAAGATATAGGTTTGTTAGCCTGTATTGACACAGATGAACCCCTAACATATGAAGATGCTATGGCAAGCAGTGATTGGAGCAAATGGAAAGAAGCCATGGAAACAGAAATCAAAGCGTTGGAAGAAAATCAAACTTGGATTTGTGTGAGTGATGAAAGTGTAGGTGAAAATAAAGTCATTCAGTGCAAGTGGGTTTTCAAGAAGAAAAGAAATGACAGTGGAAATGTTTTTAGATTTAAGGCAAGATTAGTTGTTAAAGGTTTTCAACAAAAAGGTATATCATTTTCAGATATTTATAGTCCAGTTGCAAAATTACCATCAATAAGAGTTTTCTTAGCTTTATGTATCAATTTCGATTTAAAAATACATCAATTAGATGTATGTAGTGCTTTTTTAAATGGGGATATTCAAGATGATGTCTATATAAAACTTCCAAAAGGGTTTAAAGAAATTGAGGGTACAGTTTGTAAGCTTAAAAAATCATTATACGGTTTAAAAACATCACCAAAGAACTGGAATGATAAATTTCATGAATTAATGTCAAAAATGTCATTTAAAAGATCTGAATATGAGTATTGCCTTTATATCAAAACAAATGTTAAAAGTAAAATGTATATTTTAATTTATGTTGATGATTTGCTTGTAGCAGGAACAAACGAAAAAGAAGTAGACAATGTAATTAAAATTTTGAATAATACTTTTAAAATGAATAATTTAGGGCAAATTAAACATTTTTTAGGGATGAATATAACTCAAAATTTATCTGAAGGGAAAATTACTATAAATCAGACAAACTATTTAAGAGGTGTTCTTGAAAAATTTGGAATGTTAAATTGTAAACCATCTAAAACACCTATGAATAACAATTTTCATCATGATTATTTAAAAAGAGTAAAATCTGAAAATTTAGAGATAGAAAAGAGATGTCGAATGGCTATTGGGTCGCTTATGTATGCAATGCTTTGCTCAAGACCCGATATATGTGTATCTATTAGTATACTAAGCAGATATCAAACTTGTGCAAGTTATGATCTTTGGAAAGAGATTAAAAGAGTGTTAAGGTACATTCAAGGCACTATTGATATGAGCTTGGTATATCAAAAGAATAATAATTGTGAATATTTAATTGTAGGCTATTCAGATTCGGATTGGGCAGGTGATTGTACTGACAGAAAGTCTACAACAGGATATGTTTTTAAAGTTTTCAATTGTACAGTATCGTGGGCTTGTCGGAAACAGTCATCTGTTAGTCTGTCTTCAACTGAAGCTGAATATATAGCCTTAAGCCAATCTGTTAGTGAGGCTTGTTGGCTTAGATATTTATTTTATGATTTAAACATATGTGAAAACTATGTTACAGTGTTAGTTTTTGCTGACAATCAAAGTGCTATTAAAGTTTGTAAGAACCCTGAGTTCCATAAGAGACTGAAACACGTGGACATTAGATATCATTTTGTTAGGAATAAAATCAAAGATAATGTAGTGATGTTAAAATATATTAGTACTCATGATCAACAGGCGGATTTGTTTACAAAACCATTAGGTTTTACACAGTTTAAAAAACTTAGAGAAAAGTTAGGTTTAGATTGTGTAAATAGTTTAAAAATTAAGAAAAAATTTGTTATGTATTTAAAAGGAAAATATTGTTAGTCAAATGTTTAGTAAATTTACCATTGAGGGGGGGTGTTGTATACGCCATCTATTGGGGCAATGGTAAATTAACATAACCCATGTATTTACGGTTGGTAGCACTAAGAATAGGTTAGTAAGTTTGTTTTTATAAGGTTCCTAGTAACAAAAAAGAGAGTAAGAAGAATATGGCGGCAGCATATTCAGTTTGTTCGTTTTAGTTTTTGTTCTTGTAATTGTTAACAGAAATAAAACTCGTGAAGAGTAAAAAGACCTGGTTTAATTAAAAAGTAAATTCACGGACCTCAAAACAACATAGCTGAAATAAGTTATATAAAAAAATAAATATATTTTTGCCTTTTAGAAGCGTTTACAAACTCAGGAAAATTAAAAATTTCCTGCGGAAATACTTGATTTTCATTTTCCATTTGTTCCTTATTATATTATCGGGCCTTGTAAAGTATAAGTACCCACGAATTTAGCAATTTTTTTTTTGGCAGAAAGTCCTATGCTTATAGAATAGTTTTAAAAGAAAAAAATCCTTGGATGAAGCACTTTTGAACCAAAAAAAAATCATTTAAACGTGTCTAAAATGCTAACCAATCTAATAATAAATCTAATAATATTTTTACAAAATCACAGTTAATTATTAAAATATAAAAACCACAGCTTACCACCCTCCACAAAGAAAAGCTAACCAAAGCAACCCAAATGCTAACCAATCTAATATTTATGCAAACAAGTGCCACATTCCGAGGTACTTATAGTTTACAAGAACCTATATTATAGTCTGTGAAACGAATAACTTTGAATTTGACAGTTCCCGCGGGCTTTTTTAGTGATAATTTTATTAGGTTTGCAACTTGCAGCCATACTGACGCAATACCGTCTCAAATAGAACAGCCTCAGAGCGAGATTTATGACGTCACGCTAGTTAGATACTACGCATTAATACATATGTTGTAGAATCCATGGAAAACATAATTATTCCTCGTATTTTTGGTTTGTATTTTAAAAATGATATAGTTTACATGAAATATGCATAATATACAGTTAATAAATACAATATATATAGCCATTTATAGTAATAAATACCTTGGCAAATAAACTATGAACCATACAAATGCAGCAAATATTTTACAATATACAAATAATGAATAGGTACATAAGATAATGGGTAAAATGTAAAATATATTTTAAATGTTGGGGTTTGAAAATCTAATTTAACAAAAACATTCAATATCTACTAATAATAAAAAAAAAATTAATGTCATGTAAACTATATCATTTTTAAAATACAAACCAAAAATACGAGGAATAATTATTATGTTTTCCATGTATTCTACAACATATTTATTAATCCGTAGTATCTAACTAGCATGACGTCATAAATCTCGCTCTGAGGTTGTTCTATTAGAGACGGCATTTAGAAAAGTCAAAAGCTGATGACATTTTACTTTTGACAATTATGACATTATGTGTTGATTTTTGCAAGAAGAGGAAGAACTGTCACTTGTTTTATTATTTTCTATTTCACGTAAAAAGAGTTACCTATATCTTACCTTCTTCGCAGTGCCTCTATTAAAAAGATCAGCCTCGGAGCGAGATT